CCCCGGCCCGGTCGGCCCCCCGCCCCAGCCCCAGTCCGTGCCGACGGTTAGACAGGCCGTGGCAGCTGCAATCCCAGCCCGGCTCGGGGGTGGCCGAGCCTCCGCGGTGCCGTGCCGTGCCGTGCGGCATCACAGGCAGCGCCCCCCCGGCGTGCACGGCCCCGCTGAGGCTGATGCCCGTCCATCTGTCCCTTGCAGCGCCGGGGGAAGGGATGGACCACCAGCTGCGCGAGCTGCGGCTGCAGGAGGAGCGGGCGTTTCTGCAGAGCGTGGCACGGACTCACGGCTCGCCGGAGCAGGGTAAGGGGCCCGCACGGGGCTTTCCAGCCAGGTCATGGTGGGGTCCCCCCGTCCCCAGCACAGTCGATGGGGGTGGGCTGCAGCTTGGCGGCTGTGGTGCTCAGCGATCGCACCGGCACATGGCAGGTTCGGCGTCAGTGGTGTCGCAGATCAGCCCCGGCGGGCTCTGTCCAGAGCTGCTGAAAGGTGCAGTTCCCCGCGCAGGACGTGCGCCGTGTACTAAGCATGTCATTGGGGTCGGTGCTCATGAGAGGGGTCTGGCGGGCCTCAGCACTACGGGGCCCTGACGAGAAACCAGGCCGCAGCCGGGACGTGGGGCCAAGCCCAACCCAGGGCAGGCCTCGCTGCACTGCCTGCCCATGCTCACGGCCCCGTGGCTTGACGGGCCAGGAGCGGCTCTCGCTGGGCGCTGTGGTGGCTCGTGGCACTCAGCCCAGTGCAGGGGTCACCTGGACTCAGCTCCACCGTGAGCCTCGCCTGGTACGGCCTGGGTGCTTCCTTGTCCCTGCGCGGCCTGCCCTGCCTGGGTTTGGCCCTGGGTCCTGGCTGCGGCCTGGCCTCTCGCCACCCTCTCGTGGGCACCACCGAGAAGCACCCGCTGCCCAGGCCCTGGTGCCGTCTGCTGCCCTCAGGGCCGCGGCGCCTGGGCTCAGCACCACATACCACGAGCCTCAGCCCCTGCCAGGGCCCCAGAAAGGTGCAGGTCCCCATAGTGCCCGTCTCTGTCCTCGGGCCAGGAGAGGAGCTGGAGGGCGACAGTGATGGCGAGGGTGAGCACAGGAGGAGCGAGGACGAGGGCGGAAGGAGGAAGAGCCGAGCGCGGCCCATTGTGCCTGAGCCCGTCTCCAGCGACGGGGACCTGCCGCTGCCCCAGGTGCCCAAGTCGCCCAGGTAAGTGCGGCTGGACCCCAGGGGTCCTGGTGGCCCCGGCCTTGGGCAGAGCGGGGGTCACCTGCGGGGCTCAGTGTCGACTCGGGGCCCTGCCCCCCAGGGACACGAGCCTCCTGGCCGGCGCCGTGGAGCGGAACGACTTCCTGCGGCGCCTGGGCGAGGGCCAGACGGACGCCATGGTGCAGAGCTTTACGCCCGCCCAGCACGGCCCCGGTGACACCGTGCTGGCCGAAGGCACTGAGGGCCACGCCATGTACATCGTCGCAGGTGAGCTGCGGCTGGCGTGCACTGGCTTGGCAATGTGCGTGCCTGATGGCTGTCTGGCCTCATACGTGTGCATGGGTATGTGCAGGCGTGTGTGCCTGTGTCTGGCTGCACGTGTGTGTGCATGCATTTTTGCAGGCATGTGGCTGTATGCAGGTGGGCCTGCCTGCACATGCGTGTGCATAGGTATGTGCAGACACGTGTGTGTTTGGCTGCACACTCACGTGTATGGGTGCATGCAGGCCTGTGTGCCTGTTTGGAGGTGTGTCTGGCTGTACACACATGTGCATGGGTATGTGCATGCTTGTGTACAAGTGTGTCTGGTTGCATATGCATGTCCACGGGTTTATGCAGGTATGTGTATCTGCAGGTGTGTCTGGGTGCACATGCACATGCATGGGTATGTGCAGGCATGTGTGCCTGTGCAGGTCTGTAGCTGCACGTGCGTGTGCTTGGGAACATGCAGGTGTGTGCCTATTGGCAGGCATGTCCAGATGCACATGCGCATGGCATGCAGGCAGGTGTGCGTGTTGGCATGTTTGGGTGCACACGTGTGTATGGGCACGCCTGTGGGTATGTGAGCAGGCACGCCCATCTGCACCTGTAAGTGCATGTCGTGGACAGCTGGCAAGGGGAGGGGGTCCGTGCATGCATCCGTCCATCTGCCCGCCTGTGCTCTGGTTGCAGAGGGGGAGCTGAGTGTGACACAGCGTGGGCGCCGCCTCCGCACGCTGCTCCCGGGGGACGTGTTCGGGGAGCTGGCGCTGCTCTACAATTGCCGGCGCACCGCCACACAGGTAGGGCCGAGCCGGGCCAGGCTGGTGGGGCAGGCAGTGCCCAGCCCCTGCCCCGCTGACCCGTCTCTCTGCAGCTCTGACGCCTGTGCGGCTCTGGGCCCTTGACCGGCAGAGATACCGCGCCATCGTCACTGGCAGCGCCAAGCGCCGCCGGGCCCAGATCCTGGGCTCCCTCCGAGAGTAAGCGGGGGCCGGACACGGAGGGCAGGGGGGATCTGCTTTGGGCTGGGCCCTTGGGGCTGGGGAGGGGCCCGGACACATCCCCCCTGCCCCTGCCCCTGCCACTCCCCAGGGCGCAGTGGCTGCAGGGCCTGTCGGATGCTCATCTCTCCAAGCTGCTCGACGCCATGGAGGAGGTGAGCGTGGGGCTGGGGCTGGGG